TGTTAATTCTATACATTATTAATATAATTTTATCCATTCATCCATCTATATCAATCTATCAAAGTTCACTACAAAACAAACGCCCCTAAAATTGCATTGCATCATAGACAGGCTATTTGCCATAGTTGCCACGTTTGGCGGGCGCGTTGGCAACCGCAGCTTTTTATATAAAGTCAAGTTGTTATCAGGAAGAAGCTGCTGCCTATATCCTCTTTCAGCACTGTGATTTCAGTTTCCCTCTATCGTCTCTTACGACACCCACTGAATAACTTGGGATGGTGTTAGTCACTACACGAATAAAGAACTTTATTTAATCATCTTTTCTATAAAATTGTTAAATAAAGTGTAAAAATTAAAACTTACTGCAAATTTTCACGAAGTATCCAATGATTTAATTTTAAAAGTCTGGTAATATCGTTGAATCCAATTTAGCTTAGATACTACAAACAGAAGATAATCCTTTGATTGTCTTCTGTTCACGTCCATCCAGTGTTGACGTATGTTTGAGACAGGTCGTGTAAATCTTGTTGCAGATAAATGGGTGCGAGAGAGAGCCTTTGTGTTTGCTACACCATAATGTTACAGTATAGAACAAATCACAGTAACGGCCCATTTCGCTCTGATCACCAAACACAAGCATGAAAATATCCAGACATTGTTTTTCGCTTTAGGTATATCCTTAGACAAATCTGGTTCTTTATGCCAATTGCTTAACCGAGCATATCAACAAGCCTTACTGGAGCACGAATGTTGTGTTCGGCGAACGCTTAAGGCAGTCGATGCGGTCGCCCGACGCTAAAGGATCCGTTCGTCTAATATATGGTCAAGGGTTCGTGCAAATATTATGAAGGTCCAACGAATGTCGCCTGCACCCAGCCGTGTTGCCGAGAATACGGCCAAAAACGGCGACTTTAGACATTTTGGTATTTTGTTAGCAGACACAATTTAAGACTTTATTGTAACGGTATAAGATACATGCAATGTTAAGCTAACATCAGATTTTTCTTTTGAAAGTTGCGGTATTTTAATAATTTGCTATGACCGAAGGAATATACACTATCCCATATCGTCGCGTGGACAGAAACAAACCAGGAGATGGGTAGCAACGTTTTCCTGATAACAACTAAAAAATAAAATCATCGCTTGCCAAGTATGGCACCTTTGGCATGTGAGCCTTGCCTTTAACGCAATCTGTGGAGCAGGCCACATGCAGCAGCGGACTTTTGATAGACTGTAACGGAATCGGAGCAATTTCATTCAACTAGGGAGAGACTTTTAAAGAGCTTTTACTTAAGGCAAGTCCATTTTTATATGAAAAACCTCATTTGTTACCATTGAAAATAAATAATAAATATCACTTTATTGTATCACCATTAAACAAAAGTTACAAAATAATCATATGCGTTTTTTGTATGAGTTGTACCGATTATATTATTATATTATATTATTGTATTACCGAACTAATACGACCACGGGACCTTCAAAAAAAGAGCTTACTCCTTTCTAAAAGGCCGGCAACGCACATGAAATTTCCCTGGTGTTGCGGTAGTTCATAGGTGGTAGTCACTTACGAGTACCATCAGGTGAGCTGCTTGCTCATTTGCCCCCTCTTCTATAAAAAGCATTAGAAAATGGACGAACTTTTCACTAATAGCGATCTCTGTAAGGCAACTTTGCAATGGATAATAACTTAAAATACTTACACTTTACAATACTATTGCTACTCACAGTAGGAAATTAGTAGAAATAGATTCAAGCGTGATACACGTTTGTCGTTAAGTAAATGAGAAACTCACGATCTAGTGTTGGTTGTCACTGATACACCGTTATAATGTGTCAAAATTAATATTATATTCCTTTTAGCTGGAAACAATGCACACTCGCGCATATTGTGTTTTTCCGTTTTATGTCTGCCCGTAACTCCCAGAACTTGTCGTTGGATTTTGACAAATGATATCTAAATTGATTTATTGGTGACAAATAGATATCTACTAACAGAATCACGTAAATTGGGTGGATATGAACTGTCAAAGACTTGCGATCTAAAAATGATAGGTACTAAAAATTGTATGATGTCATATGAATGATATTAATTGTGTATTCGAAATATATATCATTTTTACCCGCAATAGATTTCCTATTATATTACGTGAGGGTAATATGGTCATTCGGTTAATGTGGTCACTTTCTTATAACTCAATAACTAGTCTTGTTTGCAGAGATGCCTCTGTGTTACGATAGCTCTTCATCATTAAATCAAATAATAAATGGTGAAAAAGGCGTTGCTTTATCGACGCCAATTTGACTGTTGACATTATAGTCTTTTTTTAATAACTGGCTTACGGCTCATCATTTCTTTCGGAATCTTCATTTTATATTCTTTTTCTTCACAATATGCTGATGCGTCACATTGCGAAGCCACTCAAGTTCATAAGGCGCCCAAGCGATCAAAATAACTTGAGGTTTATATCGACATCAAAGCACCTGTTTCGCCGTTTTCTCTAATAGTTTACACGCCCGGACACGTAATTCACAAAATCGCATCACTTTTGTGAATCAAAATCCACCTCAAACCATTATTCAAGCGACAATTCGTCTACGGCCGAATTCCCGCAGAAATCTCCCATTATAGTAAATATTTTAGTATTGTGTAGTGTAGTTAATTTTTTTAAGTTGTTTTTTCGAAATGTTCGTAATTATTGCTATTTTTTCTTAACATATTAGTACGACTTTGTATTTTTGTCTCTGTGTTCCTTATAGTTTTTGTTTTTATAGGGCGGCAAAGCTTACGCTGACCATATCACCCTCACTTACCTTATGAATGTTTCATATTCATGTAGGAAATCTGTTCTTTCCTGAAGAATTTTTCTAGATTTATTTTGTCACTGGAGCTTCTTACAGCACAGTAGAAATAAACAACAGGATAGCACCAACCAATCCAGACGGACTACTAGTTATAAAGGGTCACATAGAAGTATACCAAATGTTATTACGTAGGTACATAATAGTCATGAATATTTTTATTTATTTATTATAAGCCAGTGTTTGTTCACAATCCCATCTGGTGGTAAGTGGTGATGCAGCCTTATTCACTCTTGCCTTGAAGACGCCCAGATTATTTTATTTATTTGTTCTTTTTTGTACACCACAATACAGAAACATCAATATAGTTAAAACTAATTAAAGTATGTACAATAGGCGGTCTTATCACTGAAAGTGATTTCTTCCAGACAACCTTTGCGTAGAGGAATGTTGCAAACAAACGTTACAAATAGAGGGGGGCATACAAAATAATAATAATAATAAAAAATACAATAATACATACAAGTAAAAATAAGTGAAAGTTATATATAAAATATCATATAGTAGATTAAATGAAAAAAGTACGAGAAAGGTAAAGTAATTTATCTAATAGCGTTCTAAATAATACGATTTAACAAGACTTTTGAAAGAGTGAAGAGATTTAGCACGACGAATATGGAGAGGTAAGGAGTTTCACAATCGCACAGCGGTTACAGTGAAGGATTTCTTGAAAAAGGAAGAAGAGTGCAAAGGTGTAGAGAGAGAAAGATTGACGGAGGATCGAAGGAACCGATTATGGGTAAGAGAAAGATACTAGAAACGGTTTTTTTAAATAAAGAGGAGTAGAAGGATCAAACAGCACACTATACAACGCGGAGAGAATGTGAGTATTCCTGCGAAGGCGGATCGGGAGCCATTTGAGCTGTTTGCGAAATTCGGAGATATGATCATATTTGCGAAATTTTGAATGCGCTCAAGCTTATTAAGCTGCTCCTCGGTAATGTCAAGATAGCAAATATCAGCATAGTCAAGGATAGGCAGAAGTAGAGATTGGGCGAGCGTAACTTTAGTTGCTGTGGGAAGAAAATGACGTAATCTACGTAAAGAGCTTAACGCAGCAAACATTTTTCTACCGACCTCATTAACCTGTGAGGTCCAAGACATACAGGAGTCAAGATACAACCCTAGGTTTTTAACCTTGTTACTGTAAGGGATTAGAGTGCAGTCAAGTATAATAGGGGGTAGGGAAGACCAGTCAATTTTACCAATTAATCTAGAACTACCGATGACAATGGCCTGAGTTTTCTTAGGATTAATCGTTAAACCATAACATTTACTCCAATTCGAAATACAATTCAGATCAGCGTTAATAGTGTCAACTGATTTAGATAGATCTTCAAGAGAGGACTGAGTATAGATTTGGAGATCATCAGCATATAAGTGGTAGGAAGAGGACAAATTATGACTTATAGAGTTAATGAAAATTGCAAAAAAGAGAGGAGACAACACGGCTCCTTGTGGTACACCAGCAGCTGTAGTTGTCCAGGTGGAAAAAGCCTCTTGCACCTGAATTCGCTGTCGGCGACCAAACAAGTAACTTCGAAACCAGTCAACTACAGTTGGAGATATGTTGAGAGAGCATGGGATGCTTAACAAGATATCAAAATCTACAGTATTAAATGCGTTACAGATTGTATTGGGACGGAGAAATAGACGTCGGTAAATTATTCCACTCCTTTGCTGTACGCATTAAAAAACCGTAAATAGAATAGAATAGAGGGAAAATGAAACAGGAGATGGGCAGCAGCATCTTCCGGATAATAACTCGAAATAAAAACAAACTGTGATTGCCGTCCCCGCTCGACAAGCGTGGCAACTATGGCGAAATCCCCCCATGAGTCAATCTACGAGTAAGGCCTGTGTTCAGCAGTTGACTTTTGTAAGCTTAGCTGTAATGGAATGGCCAGTCAACTCACTCAACTCAACTGTAAAACACATGCGTTCATCTTAACATTGGCTAATATCTCCAAGAAATTATATTTAATTTGGCTTGAATATAATTTTTACATAATACATCACTACAATAACTACACAAGCAAAACTGTGTGTAACGCCGAGCGATGGATATTAACTCCATGTGGTCATTATCACGACCGTCGGGTCTCTCGTGCAGGAAGTCGCGTACGTGACACGAAATAATGATCTTGTTGAATTCGGTGTACATTTGGAGTTGGCGCCGAATGCGCTTATCTGATTGTGAGGTGACACGGCAGATTCGCATTGGCCTTAGGCCTCTTCACACAAGCGATTTAATTGTTCGTGTGTATATGAAAACACAACTGAACAATAATATTAATATAAAATATCTCTGAAATTTGCCATGGGGGAACTTGACATTAGTATTATTAACAGCAGCGGGCTTAGGCTTAGAAACTTAGAATCACGAGGCATAAATCGAGTTCTGTTTTTTTTATAATTTAGATTCTTTTTAAGCTTGTTAAATTATTTTTAAGAACTACAGTTACAAAACAATAAAAGCGCTAAATTAGGCTGCTACTCTGGGATTTAAGTTAAATGGGGCCATACCATTTAAGTTAAATGAAATTTTATATTCTGCAATGGATAACTTGATCTGTATCATACATAACAACAATATTACTGTTAGTTATATATGTACCTCGAAGAATCGGCGACCGTCTGGAAAGTAAGGTTTTTTAGTGATAGCTTCTATATAAGCTCTATTTAAGACGAACGTCGTAGATGCAGGTGGCCCGAGTCTGTGATTTTACTCTTAATTAGTTGATATCCCGTATATTTCATCGCTCCAAATACGGAAATTTTGTTTGTTAACAAAGCCACTTAACCAGAAATGAGCCTCATCACCGAAAGCGGTGTCAGCTGCCAAATGTTCTAAAGCAAAATCAGCGAATATACAGCGCTGTCTGGGTGTGTAGCTCTTGAGTTAATTGAACTTTTAATGGATGAAAATCAAAGTCTCGACGCAAAATCCGCCAAGTTAATTTCACAGAAAGACCTAACTCGCAGAATGGATTGTTTGGGGTTTTCTCGTACACTGTCCCGAACGGCAACAATATTCTACAACGATCTTGCGTTCGTTTGACGTTCATCGATCTGTGACGGTTGTCTCAAATTTATTCATTAAGCGATGGATTGAGGAATCTGCAGGCCGGCCATGAATGCCATAAATGGACACAACGCACGGAACGTTAGGCGAATAGAGCATTCATTTTGATGATAAATTTTGAATTGAAACGGTTTGAAGCGTCTAGCGTTCCATGGTGAAATTTCAAATAAGTGTTCTTGTCATATTTTACAGTTATCACTTTACCAAGATGGTCGTTATACGCTGTCATATTTAGAGCGTTCGGATTAAAAAACCCTCTACACATATACATACATAATTTAACCATGTTTAAAAGTTGTTGGCGTGTTCGGCGGAGCGGGACAGTATAAATATATTTCATTATATTTCATGCCAGTTCTCCGCCTGCAACTTTACAAGGCGCAGGTTCGGCCGCACATGGAATACTGTTCCCAATTCCCATATCTGGGCGGGGACTCCCCAGTGCCAGCTCCTCCCATTAGATCGCATACAGCGCAGAGCAGTCCGAATCATCGTTGACCGAGCTCTTTCCGATCGGCTTGACTCACTGGCACTGCGAAGAGATGTTGCATCTCTTTGTGAATTTTATCGCATCTACCCCTAATCCCAGCCGCACAATTTCAACATCGCACATCGCGAAAAAACTCGCGGTACTATCCATTCCATCTGGATGACTGGCGGTCCACCACTGTGCGATTTAAAAGAAGTTTTATTCCTCGCACAACTTCCTTGTGGAATCAACTACCACCAGAGACTTTTCCGGACTGATACTACTTAGGGACCTTCAAGAAAAGAGCCTATTCCTTTTTAAAAAGCCGGCAATCCCCTTGTGTTGCAGTTGTTCATGGGCGGCAGTAATCACTTACCATCAGGTGAGCCGTTTGCTCGTTTGCTCCCTCTCCTATAAAAAAATGAGGTACATCTACCATGCGGGTTTAACTGACCGCAATGTAAAATTATAGGTACAATCGAAAAATAAATGTAGGTACATAAAATTATGAGTCAATACATTCATGTTGATAGATTCTTACACGAAATTGTACTCGCTCATGTCAACATGACATCCCTCAAGGAGCAAGGAGTACGCTGTAGGAGTATGAGCTCATTAAATTTCAACAAAGTAACGACATGGACATTTACAAGGACCTTGACCGTTTCGCATGTCAGCAACAAAGTGCGCGAACGAATTGTTTATGACCATACATACAGACGCAGTGTTTTCTTGCGAGCTTTTGTTGTGGTTGATTATTTATTTTATTGCAATATTTGGTTCACATTTGCAAAGTCATGCATATTTACCGACTGTCATTTGGCGATGTATTAAGCGAGTACATCAGCCCGTAAATAGAAACTCTTGGTATTCCTATTGGACGAGATGTGTCCAACATATTATGAATCTTAAAAGTTTCCATAAGATTTCAATATAACCATCGTATATTTTGAGTGTTAATTATCCAGATTGGCGACGGGAAGTAAAGCCAAAGGTCCGAGACATCTGGCGATCGCCAATCTGCAACCCGTATATCCGTATACCCGTATACCTAGGAAGGTATGGACCCTTCACGATTCGGTGACATGACACAATCAACCTGACTAGTTGTGAATCGTTTACCCGCTCCTGATGGAGAACCGTGAAGAAATCCTACTCATTGTTCGTATTCGTTCGAATTGGATATCCGGTTCGCTTGACACACTACAACCGCTTCAGCATTTCGCTACTATTTTCGTGAATATTAACTTCTTCTTATTCTTCAGCAGTTCGTTAACTCCACAGTTGGGCCTCCTCTTATTGTTGTAAGGATTTGCACCCGGACCGACAACGGGTATTTACGGGCGTTAAGATGTTTTAGCAATCATCATAAAATAAAAACAGAAAATAAAAAATAACTTATTTTATTAAAAATAAAAGAAATTGCCATTGAAAATAGCCAGATGCAAAGCTGACAATCGAGACGCGCCGCTATCATAGCTTAGTGGATTATGCTCTTAACCGATGCCAGTTATAGCTGCAGCTATTTATATCCTATTAAATTTTATTAACGCTATGTTCTGACCATTGAGCATTAAAATCTAATAGAACAAAGCTAAAAATAATATGAACCAAAAATTATTTCAAAAAAAAAACACGTGTTTTGTCATAATGGTGTGATATTAATCAGGTGAATCGTACTTAAAAGCAAATTTTTAAGACCGACTGCTTTTCCCCGCCATGCCATTGTATCTTAACTATTAGGACGTGGGGACGTGAAAATTATTTGAAGTACAAGAAGCCCGAAGGACCAAGAAAGACTACTAGACGGCAGCACTCCTCTTCTATCTAATGGTTTGTGTGAATATGTGCCACCTCAGCTTCAGAGAATTACTCTAACCATTTTACGTGATTGTCTCAAATTTATTCATTAAGCGACTTTAGCTTCTAACTATTTTACTTTCTAACTTTACCAGGTAATGTATGGGCCTCGTAGCTAGAACTACATCCCTTATATAGCTATCTAGAACCTTTTCCAATGTCTTAAGAAGAAAGGAAGATAAGCTTATAGGTCTAAAGGACTTTGGTAAAGCGTAGTCCTTTCTACCAGCCTTGCGTATAAATAGAACTTTGACAATTGTCCATCGTTCTGGAATATATCCCCATGCAAAACTTGCTCCGAAGTTTTTCACCAGATAGTTGACGCTAGTAACTCCAATGTTTCTGTTTCACTAGTAGTGAAGTTACCATTAGGCTTTTTAAGAAGTGCGATTTGATTAGGTTTAGCTTTCAATAGCATTTTGTGTAGTCTTGCACTGCGAGGCAAAAACTCCACTTCCTCATATAGCTTCCTCCACAATACTCTTTTAGCATTCCTAATTTCTTTATTATATTCGGTTAGGGCTGCACTATAAATATCCCACTCTTTGTTTTTTTTTTAATCCTATTGAATAGTTTCCTGGTCCTGTAATTCTGATCTTAATTCCTAACGATAGCCTAACAAAAGTAATCATGCTGCCGTGCCTAAACAAGTCTCTGCATTTGAACTGATAACCATTTTTGTATGCCAGATGTTTGATTCACGAACAGTTATGGTGTCCTGGTGAGAGAAAAAGGAGTTCTTGTTATGGAAATCGAGATGTAGACACACAATAAAAAATAATAGTACTACGTAATGTAGGTTACACAATAGCAGAATAATAAAAAATTACAAGACAGTAAAAAAGGCATAAAAAATACGATTTTGGGTATTTTTCGTTACCTTGCAGAGACTTAAGTAAAATATGTAAAAAAAAATAATTGACAAAATGTCAGTTGACAGGTAAAAAATGTTTATAGACCCAAATCTATTTTAAGTTTATTTTTGATATTCCTATTCAGTTGATTGTTTTTCGTTACAGTAAAAAGGGTCTCCGGTTCTCTAGACTCACCATACGAAACACAGCAGTGTTATGCTGCTGTTTTACGCTGGTATTCTGTGAGAGCGTGGTCCTTCCCCGGTCGAGCCGATCCAATCGTGCTACAACTATACCAGTAATATAGCTGCAGCGTGGCTCTACCACGTAAAACGTACTTCTAAACCAGGAAATCCTTATGATCTATGCAATTGATAACATTTAATAGGTTTCTTTGTAACGTCAATTAGTTTGTATCGAAAAATTGTTTTATCGAAATAATTTCAACAGAATTTCGAGATCGCCCCTTTTGCTTTACGTAGAGCTTTTTATAAACAAATGGTACAAAAAAAATTACCCCACAGGTTTATAAGTACTTAATACTTACCATTTCAGCCCTCATGCACCTAAGTCATCTGATTTCCACTAGTTCATCTGAGTAGTACAATATTTGAACTAGTGAGGGTAAGGAGGCCTAGTTAAGGATACCCCCAGATGCAGGTGCTCCCCCTTAGAAAGGAGTAAGCTCTTTTCTTACTAGTAGGTATTTTTCCCAATAGTTCAATTCTATATATATAAATCATTTTAAAAGTAAATTACTGAGATTTATAAAAAAGTGTTTAGTACATATATACAAACTCGCACCAGTTGGGTAGGAGAAGCTATAACCCATTGAGATCTACATCTATCCTCAGTTAAGGATCAAAATGCATATGTGTTGTTACCCCTAAAAATGGAATGCTTCGTTGGAAACGAAAAAAAGGGTCTCGGGTC